TCTTCTGGGTCCTGGGTGAGTAAAGGGTCTGGGTCTGGTGAGCTTGGGAGCCAGCTGAGAGAACACATCCTGAACTACCCATCCTCCTATAGGAGCCACCCTGGTGATCATCGGCTCCCATGCTGCCTTGCACCAGATAGAGCCTTCAGACGGAGAGGAACTGCAGATGGAGCCTGTGTAAGATGTCAGAACCTGCCTGCCTTGCCGGCTGCCAGGTCTGTCAGTCCTTGTCCTGCCCGGCCTTGCCTGCCCCTCATCCACCTCAGGCCTCAATTCCAAGGAGAGGCTTTGTCTTTGGAAATAAAGTTGTTACAGTTGCTACTTGGCAAAAGCTTTCCTGGTATTTTCTCTTTTATAGGTAAGGAGAGGGTTTCCTGAGAAACGGGGGCTGGAGAGGTGGCTCAGCCAATAGGAGCACTAGGTTCAGTTCCCGGCACCCACAATGGCAGCTCATGCTTGTCTGTAACTCCAGCTGCTGGAGATCTACTCCCTCTGGCCCTCTCAGGTGCTTTGCACTCGAGCACACACACCTACACATAATTAAAGCTAACAAAAGGTAGCACACGCCTTTAATCCCAGCACTCAGGAGGCAGAGGCAGGCAGATCTCTGAGTTCGAGGTTAGCCTGGTCTACACAGAAAAACCCTGCCTCATACAATAAAAATCATAAAGGTTGCCGAGTATGGTAGTATGCACCATTAGTCCCAGCACTAGAGAGACAGAGGTTAGGGCATCTTTGCGAGTTCAAGGCCAGCCTGGCCTACATCCACATAGTTACCTCAAGGTTAACCAGAGCTGCATAGCAAGACCCTGCTGGCCAGAGAGGATGAGTGATGGAGCAGCTGCCATCCTTTAAAGAGCAATGTTCTGGGCATAGAGGCAGCAGTGCCAGGAGGCATGAAGAACGGTGAGGAGGCAGTATACTCACTCAGCTGGGGAGTGAGCAGGGGAAGCTTGATGAGAGAAGAGGGCGCTGCAGGAGGCTTTGGTTTTTACCCCGAAGAACACCAGTTAGTAACTCCTTTTGTTTTTGAGACAGGGTTCAGGTAGCCCAGGTTAGCCTTATGTAGCCAAGGCTGGCCTTGAACTGATATTCCTGCCTCCACCTGCCAGGTGCTGGGACAACTGACATGCCACCATGCCTGGTGCACACAGCACTAGGGAAGCATGCTGCCACTGAAGCTAGCTAGCCCCGACCCTGAGGTTGGCTTTTTAATTGGAACATGCAGATTTGGCTATTCAGGAGCCCTGATGGCAGAGACCCAGGCTTGGTCAGGGAGACACACGGTGATAAAATGGGCAAAAAGGTGCCTTGAGGGGTTGAGAAACTGCTGATGGGAGCTTCTCTGAGGTGATGGTGACATTTCTGGGAGCCCCTGGGGGACACAGGTAGGCATCAGAAGAGCTGGGAGTGAGGTCTCCAAGGCCTTCCGGTGGATACATTTCTTCCATCCCCTTGTATCACTTTAATATCGATCTTTTCTCGTCTGTGCCCTTCATTCCTCAGTGGCCTCATTCACATCACTGTGCACCCGGCATGGCTCTGGAATTGTGCCTCAGTCGTGCAAGCCACCAGCCCAGCGTGACCCCTGTGTGCCTGAAGCAAGGCTGCCATGAACTACTGTGCACTAAGTGGAAAACACGGGGCTGGGAAGCAGCAGCTCAGCAGCTAAGAGCTTGCTGCTCCTCCAGGGACTTCTTAAAAGTGACTAGGTTAAGAGCACCGGCTGCTCTTCCAGAGGACCTGAGTTCAATTCCCAGCAACCACATGGTGGCTCCCAACCATCCGTTATGAGATCTGGTGCCCTCTTCTGATGCACAGGCAAAACATTATATACATAATAAATAAATACTGCCTATAGCTATAGTTCCAAGGAATCTGACATTCCCTTCTGGCTTCCAAAATGTACATATGCTCGCTCGCGTGCACACACACACACACACACACACACACACACACACACACACACACAGGCTCAAATACAAACTGAGAAACGTGAGTTCTGAATGGAAAACACAGTAGACCAGTGTGAAGGTGGCATACAATACTCATTAGTCATGTTTACATATATGTTAGCATGCCACACACGCCTTTAATCTCAGCACTCAAGGAGGCAGAAGCAAGCAGATCTCTGTGAGTTTGAGACTAGCCTGGTCTACATAGTGAGCTCCAGGATTGCTGGGATTATAGATTTATACAGATCTATACACAGGTACATATACATACATGCATACATACATACATACATACATACACACACAAAGAGAGGCAGAGCACAGGCTGGCCTCGAATTCTATGTAGCTGAGAATGACCTCGAACTTCTGATCCTCCTGCCTTTTGCTCCCAAGTCCTAGGGTGGATGACAGTCTTATGCCTCCAGGCTTGGTTTCTGTCACACTGTGGGAATTGAGCCCAGGGCTTTATACATTCTGGAAGAGCGGTCCACCCAACGAAGGTATAGTCAGCACCCCTGATTTTAATATTGACCATTTTGTTTGTTTGTGTGTGTGTGTGTGACAGTGTCTTATTGTATAGCCCAGACTGGCCTGGAACTCACTGTGTATCTCAGTCTGGCCTGAGATTTGTGACAGTCCTATCTATATATGCCTTAGCCTCCCAACTGCTAGGATTACAGATAAGAGCTGCCACCCCAGGTCTTTGATAATGTGTGTTGAAAACAAAATTATATTTTGGTAAAATTGTTCCTTTGAATTCATATGTGTGCCCTGTATGTATTTGTGTGTGTGAGTGTACAACTGCAGGTATGAGCCTGCCCATGGAGGCCAGAGGTCAGGGTCGGGAGTCTTTTCCTATTGCTCTCACCTTTGTTTTTTGAAACAGGGTCTCCCACTGAACCTGGAGCTCACTTATTTGGCAAGACTAGCTAAATCTTCCCATGTCTGTCCCCCCAGTGCTAGGATTGTACACTGTGCCAGCATGCCTGGCTTTTTACATGGCTGTTGGGGATCCAAACTCAGCTCTTCATGCTTGTGTTGCAAGCACTTGACTGACTGAGCCATCTCTCCAGCCCCAAATTTCACTTATTTTTTAGACTGGGTCTCTACACAGCCTTGAATTTACAGAGATCTGCCTGCCTCTGCCTCCCGAGTGCTGGGATTAAAAGCGCATGCCATCACGACTTTAGAGGCCTGCTGAGCTACCTCTTGAGGCCCACAATTTTTTTTTAAGATTTTATTTATTTATAAAGGCGTGCAGCACCGCCACTCCCAACTCCAAAATTCACTTTTTAAAAACATTGTGGGCAAAAAAAAAGGGGGGGGCTGGAGAGATGGCTCAGAGGTTAAGAGCATTGACTGCTCTTCCAGAGGTCCTGAGTTCAATTCCCAGCAACCACATGGTGGCTCACAACCATCCTTTATGAGATCTGGTGCCCTCTGCTGGTGTGCAGATATACATGGAAGCAG